AGGCCTTCAATGTATGAATTTCTGGGGAAGGAACAATTCAGTCCTTAACATGCTGTATGTATCCCCTGGTTACTGGCTTTTTACCCTAACATAATTCCCTAGGATATCAATAGTTTGTTCCTTTTTATTGCTGAGTATTATTCCATGAAATGCTTCCCGGTGCTTTTCATTTCACGTACTTCAAGTTAATATTTTTAAAGCCTTGTGATTAGGTACCCTAAATTAATGCAAAAGTACAACAAGCAAAAAACAGAGGTTAGGAAGCATAGAACAGACTAACTTCAACACTAATTTCCTTTTACCGAGTTACCGTGTATCAGCATTAAAAGCCAAGATTTGGAATTTTTAAATAATCATTCAAAATTAACATGAGGCAGTGTTTATTTTTTGGAAGGAGGTACTTCACTGTCACAATATTCTAAATTTAAACTTTGAAAATATATTTATGGTCTAATCTTTGCTGTGATTCTGTGTTTGTTGGAGAAACGCTTAAAGATACAAATTTCAACGTGTTTGGTTGCTTTTTTCATAACCCCTTCGTCCAGACAAACTGCTGCTTTTGTTCATGTGATCTTCCACTCATGATCGAATTTAGCTGCTTGTATCTTTTTGAAAATCTGCTCATGAGAGAGAGGTTGTGCTTCATGAATCTTAGATAATAAAGTTAGGACATACTAGGTCTCCTGCATGACATGAAGGGAAGAGGGGCCGCCCGAGAAGAGATGGTGAGGAAGTACTCACCAATAACAAAACTCCTGAGAAACCCTCGTTGATGGGAAATACTGGGAAAACTAGACTGAAATGGTGAGACATCTCATTTACAGACTATTTTCAGAATAGTAAGGTTTCATTTAGTTCTAATAAAGCCTCAACTGTAACAGGCTAAGACACAGAGAGGGTCTAGAAAGCAACGTTATATAAACCAATGAAAACCATAATTCATGCAAGGCCTAAATGTATAATAATGTGTTACTGGCACAAAAGTCTTTAAAATTGTACGTTCGTGTGGAGCAGTGGACATAGAATAAATACTTTCCGTATCCTTTTATTTAAAATTACAGTGTATGCTGGGTCTTCTTTATGGTCATTAAGATGCTTCAGATTATCAACCCGACACATTCTTTTGAACTTCTTGTTTAACATCAGCAACAAAGTGACAACTACTACTCTGTTACTGCTACTGTTTATTGAGTGCTCCATACAGGAACCATGCTGGCCACTTTAATTAATTTAATCCTCACAGTTACCTTATGAGTTAAGTATGGTGATTATTCCCATTGAGAGTCAGGGACACCGGGACTCAGAGAAGTTAACCTGGCCAAAGTCACATTAACCAGGAAAGCTTGAGAGCCAAGAATGAAATTCTGTGTCTAGTTCTTTCAAATTCTAAATAGAGGGGGATAGGAATAATACCTTTTAGGGATATCGATCCAGAAAAGGATATAACAGAAGAGATTCTGAACCACTGATATGAGCCAAGAAATTGAAAACATCAGTGTAAAATATCCAAAGTCCATGGGTAGCTAGAAACTTCTTTTCTGCCCTTCTCATTCTCTGATAACAAATACTCTCAATTGGAAAGGAGGGCCCAGATGAGAAGTACCTTGGAACATGCTGAGTGTTAATCAGCATATCTCTAGATTGCCACATTAAGAAGCAAAGCCCCCTAATAGAAATTTCATCCCAAAAATATAGTGATAAAGTATATATGTATAAATCTAAACCTGTTTACATAGGCTGATATTTGTTTCAGGAGATATAACTTAGGCATCTTCAAGAATCAAGTGCACAATTTATTTCAAAACCATTCTAGAGCAGTGCCATCCTATAGAACATTCTGCGATGATAAAACAAATTCCCTGTTCACCATGTCCAGTGCAGTAGCCAATAGTTGCCTATGGCTATGAAACACTCAATGCAGCCATTGAGGCTCAGGAAGGGGATCTAAAATGTCGTTTAGTTTAAATTTAAATAGCCAGGCATTTGGCTTCTGTATTGGACAGTGCAGTTCTAGAAAGTAAAGGTGTAATTATAACAGATATCATGAAATTCTAAACATAGCTTTTCCTTCATATTCTCATCATCTATTTCTCTGGGCAGGGGAGTGGAGAAGGGGAGAAAGAAGGAAAGGGTGGTTGTGTCCAAAGGTAAAATCATTTTGAATGTTTGTCTGTCTGAAATTTCGGCTGTGTTTTATTGACAAAATTGAGGAAGGTTGAAGATTTGGCAGGCCTGTCTGTCCCCTCGCCTGTGTGAATGTGTCAGCACCTCATTAATAATGTGTTAAACTGTAAAGGCCCTTTTCCCTCCTACTATGGGCCTATTTTTAAAGAACACTTCAGTACCCCTTTTGCATCTCACGGTGTTTTTTTTTTTTTTTAATTTACAAGTTGCTCTGTGGATTAATTTTAGCATATGTTTTATTTAAATATATCCTGAATATTTCCAAATTGAAATGGGAGAAATTGTTTTGTGGTAGGGAAGTTGTGCTGTGAGTTTTGGAGGAATGTATTAGCTGCTCATTTTCTAGAAATTAAAAGTATGAAGATTCTCTGTATTATCTTCTCTCCAATTTTGATTGGCATTTCAGCCAAATGATTCTATCACACATGTGGCCCTGGTGGTTCTTCTCTTGCCAAGAAAAGAAAAACATATGGGGTATAGTTTTTTTTTTCCTTAACCGTTTTTGACATTTTTGTTCAATGTAGGATTAGATGACAGTGTCTTTGAAAGATACTGAGTATTTTAAGCCTTAAGTTTGTAGAGCTTGTGTCTTACAGGTGCATGGTGAATTATCATTGTTTTTTTTCTTCCTAAGACAGACATCTAGAATAACCACTTTCTGTATTTCCTGACACTGAAAACAGATACGGTTTGGGATTCCTTTTATAGTTTCTTCAGCTAACGACTCCAGTGACAGCTCGATTGTGGTCTCATAGTAAATCAAAATTTCTTTGAAAGACCCAGCTCTGTTATGTAATTGTAAGTCCTAAGAAGTCATCTCTCCAAAAAGAAAGGTGAATTTCTGTTGCCTTAAATAATAATGGCTTTGCCACTACATATGATAGTTTTTGAAGGCAAAGTAAGTAGACCGTTTTCTTCTTTTCTTCCTTCTTTTAAATTAATCTGTAAACACATAACCTGTGTTTACACATAAGGCTGTGTCAGATCTGGTTGGCCAATCATGAATAAAGAGAAGAACCGCTCTGCAAACTTCTGCATCGAACGTACGTGTCATCCCCCAAATGATTTGTTCTAGATGGAATGTGGGGTTTCACAGTGGCTAAGGAGAATACTCTGATTCCCTTACTGAACTCTCAACTGTTTCCTATGCATTTTAATAAAGCAGATTTAGAAAACAAAATCAACCTTATGCTACTAGCATGAGTGATGTGTTCATAGCCTGCAATTTGTTGGCATCTTTGAGGCTCTGGGAAAGGAAATTCACCATATTTTGCCAGGATGCACTTAGGTCAATGAGGAGGACAGTGGAACTTTTAAGTATGGAAAGACTGGTGGGGACTGGGGTCCCAGCTGACAATTCACAGGCGTAGGCCAGGGCCCAGAGTTTTCCCCTCTGCCCAACTTAGCTGATGAAACATTAGTGTTGCACAAGACTCTTCAGAAGTCGATGCCCGCTTCGGCCAACTCGGAGAAAAGGCTTCCTCAGAAACTGAGGCCTCCGTCTGTGCCAATCCTTGTAAGCGGTTCACCTCTTCAGAGGCTAATGCCTCTCAAAACCAAGAACAATTAAAGCGAGAGTCTTTCCAAGCAACTGGGGAATTGAGCAAAATAAATCAGAAATCCTCAGCCTTCGCTCTGGAGGCTCGCCTCATTATGAGAGCAGATCTATTAGCCCTCTTGCCATTGTCTTTCATTTCTCAAGTGAGGTGATTCTAATTAAATTAATCTGCATGTCAATCTATCGGTGATCAATCAAAGAGCCTGAGGTTTCCCCTATGCTGCAGGGTGCTTGCGGCTGACAGGGGCTGATAATGGAGGAAGAAATAAACTGTCGAGCAAAGTTAATTAGTCAACATAATAGGTGGATTAAACGGGAGCGGGCTGATTGCTGTTTCCCTTGTCAAAGCATGAGGTGGGAGCTGAAGCTGCAATTACAGACAATTATTATATTTGGTTGTAAGAGGTCGCATGAATAAACATATCTCTGTGGGTTTCAGTTTTAATCCCTTTCCCCATTTAATATAAGGAGAAGTGTAGGTCATTTCTTCTCATTGTTTTAGTCAAAGTTCTCTGAGACAACATCTTTGCCTGTGTCTCTTCTGGCAAACTCGGTTCACAGTCACTTTATGAGATAGTTTCAGTGTCTAAATTATGCCTTGGGCCAGTCCCACCAGTTTTTTTTTTTTTTTTTTTTTTTAATTTGAAACAGATCTAGGACCCTTAATTAGCAGGAATTTTTTGGGGTGGGGTGATGGTGATAGTAGTGAGGGGGACTTTGGTCTGATGAACCAAACTAATGTGGAAAGAAAAAAGTACAAGAAATCTCAAAAAGACACCCAGGAGAGAAAATGCATCCCAGCTCTTACTGAAATCTTTTTCATTTCTCTATCCTCTTAACCCTGACACAGTGGGGGGGAAATATTTTAAAGATTCAAAAGATTTTTATTTGCATGATCAACTGTGATATCTGCTTCAGTGTCTAAACTGAAGGGTAATTTAGGTGAAACACAACCACCCTTGTGTAAAAAATATGCTAATAAAGATCCTCTTGTTAAAATTATGGTTAACAGTGTACCTTCTGCTGTATAACTATAAACTGTGCAATTTTACTTAAAACTGTATCAAAAGCGTTCCATGCCAAAGACCCACTCATCAATAGCTCCTCTTGTTAGACTTGTACAGCATAAGCACCAGTTATTATGTGAAATAGCTATGCAATTTTCTTCAGCTCCCAGCTGTTATTTATTTAACTTGAGTTTATTACCCACCACGCTTTTATATTAAAATGTTCATTCATTTCTTTCTTATGTCTCCAGGTCGTGGTGTCTACGACAGTCAATGTGGATGGCCATGTCCTGGCAGTCTCTGATAACATGTTTGTCCATAATAATTCCAAGCATGGGCGGAGGGCTCGGAGGCTTGACCCCTCGGAAGGTACGCCCTCTTATCTGGAACATGGTAGGCGAATCATTTTCATTGGTTGGCATTGCTACTTTAACTGTGAATGTATTTGGTTTCTTTCTTCCACTCTACCACATGTTCTACTCTGTTTCAAATTTCAAAAGTCTTTTTGAATACGATTGGTCCTCCAGGGTTTTTTCTTTTCAACATATGATGCCAAATATTTAAAGACAGGAAAATATCTCTGAGGCCCATCTTTCTTGTGGGACCACTCTCTACTCTGGAAATGGCTAATATTGCCTCCTTTCAGGTTGAGAGAAAGAAGGAGGCCTGGACCATTGCTTTATTCTAAGCTCCCACTGGATTACAAAATAAGGAAAGACCAATCCAAGGGAAAAATAAAGAGAGGCCACACAATTTGGTATCACAAAAGTTGTGATGTAATTGACCATTGAGGTTTTATAATGAACCCATCCTCTTTACCATCCTCCTGGTGTATCTCAGTGACTACCTGTTGAACTTCATTTGGAGATCAGGTTCAATGTCGAGGTGGGAGATGCTTTCTGAATATGAAGCCCAGACCAAATGTTCTTCCTGTGCCCTGTACCTAACTCTCACTTCTTCACCACGTGATAGAACTTGCTTTCTGTAGGTAGACTTTGGTAGGGAGAAATCACATTTGTCTTGAGAACTATGGCTAATCAGTAGTGCCTTTGAGAGGACTGAAGGAAACCAGATAAAAATTTGAATCAAGGAAAGTGAATGCCACTCAGAAGAACCATGGGTTGGGTTAGGGGCACGCCTGAATTTTTCAGTCCTGCATGTGTGTGTAATGTATCCACTGTTCCTCCTCTCCACTCATCCATCCATCCATTCATCCATCCATCCATCCATCCATCCATCCATCCATCCATCCATCCATCCATCCATCCAAGAATGAGTGACTGAGGCTTTACTGGGTACCAGTCACCATATTAGACTTTCTTCAATTGCCTCAAACTCTCAACCCATTTCCCTCACTTCCCTTTCCAGTTTGCTAGGTCAGCAAGATTCTTCTCAGAACGCTACCACACAAATTATCACCTGATTGCCTGTTTTTTTCCATGGGCCAGGAGTTGACCATAATTCACAAGGTAGAAAACTCCCTTCTCTGCCAGCATCCCAATTTAATAAACACACCACTCTCATCATTTTTGCCTGGCTTTTTCCCCTGTGCTTATGGAACACATGAACTGTACTTTTTATTAATTAGCCAGATGTAACACTCTTAGAAGGGATTCTTCACCACATCCAGTTTTACAGTCTTTTTAAAGTAAACTATCATCTTTCAAAAGCTGCTTCTTTATGGTTTCATTAGTGCTGAGATGGATTGATATTACATTTTGCAGGAGGCCATTTCAAACACCTGCTCGTGATTACATTCCTAGTTCCATTTCTGTACTTAAAATTATTCTGATCCTCACTTTACAGTAATGTTGTCTTTATAATACCCTTGGAGTCACTTAAGGCATTGTGTGACTAGAGGTGTTTAGGTGAAAGGAGGAGGAAAAATTAGGGAAATACAGTGGGCATGGTTTGGAGAGTGCTGCTTAAGGACTGAAGTTATGTTTTTGACTGTGGCTGGTTCGTTGCAATAGGTACTGCCCAATCTGGTGATAGACTTGACTATCAGTTTGAAATCTGAGTTCACACTTTCAAAATACGCTTAGGCCACACCCAGCTCCTATTTCTGCTCTCGGGAAGCCAGTGAAAAAGCTCCTGACACCATGCAAATTATCCTTCCAACAAAACACCCAGAGCAAACATAGAATATAACCTGCTCTAAAGGAGCCCTCTAGGCAATGAGGATCAGTAACATTATTTTGCAGCATGATAAAGGACTAAGTCATGAAATAGGTACCAGGAACCCCAAATTCAATCCTTAGTTTCACTCTGGCCTCTATTTGACCTCGGACAAGTTGCTTTAGTTTTTGGGATCCTTGATATCCTCCTTGTTAAAATGAAGGTGATGATCTGTAGGAGAGTAAAAAAAATCTGTGCTTTGGGTGGGGGCAGGTAATGTAGATAGGGAAGTGGGCTGGGTGGAGGCTGAGAAGACAGGCACGTACACGCTCTGGTGCCCCCCGGCCCCAGCCAGTTGTTGCTAAGGGGAATGAGAGCCCAAGTGGGGCCAGATGTTCCAGTTTGGCAACAATGAATTTTTAATTGTTGGTAACTAATTACAAAATTTTTGGACACTGAAGGGAGGAGAGAGGGAAAAAAAGCCACTTAGAAGAATGCAGCCACAGGCCAACAGTTTGAGACCTCTGGATCAACACAGCTATAAGCTTCTTCCCAGCTCAGATGTTCCCTCTTCTAACAGTATTAATATTTCAGTTGGGATATCATATTATTCTAAGTTTTAACGACAGCATTTTATTCACCTGCTTCAGTTTACGAGTCCACAAGTGGCCATATTATTATAAGATATTATTTAAAAAATGGTGACATTTCACTGTGTGTAAGTGGTTGGCCATCATTGGGGACATAGGTATGTCCTATTTCCCTCATCTAGGGGCCTTGACTTCACCTAAGCCTTACTTCACTTCTCTCCAGTGGAAAGAAAGGGTAGACATGTTCAAATTCTTAGTAATGACAATAACATAGAAATCTGCTTCTCTGCAGAATGAGTCAACTAACCGCACAAAACCACCCACTCATTTAGACACTTCAGGCTGACACATAAATATCTACTCAGCAAAGGGTGACTATTGAACTATTTCATTGGTAATGTGTGGGAGTGGACCTAGATGCTAATTCATGTTGATGTGAGGGTAATACTTTATTTTGCTGTTGAAAAGTTCTATTTCAAAATGCTCTGTTTAAAAGACTTCGAGAATCACACACCCTCATCCTTCTGTCTCTCTGCTCCCACCCCCAACAGCCTTCAAATAGCTACCGCATGGTGAGACCGCAAAGCATGTTCTCCTCTTGTGACCTGCGGGAACCTATGTTTTCCCCCATTCTGGACTTTTTATCATCTAATTTACAGGTAGCCTGAATTATTTTGGGCTATTCTGCAAATCTCTATTTATATCCTGCTTGTCAGACCATTGGAGGAAGTTTCCTTTTGTGGCTAACCTTTCTGCGTATAAGTAGAGACAGAGATCGTGCTTTACATTCATGCGTGGGCTTTCTTATGTGACCCGTGGACCCGCAAACCCCTGTGCTCTGATAAATGACCCTGTAATTCAAGTATGAGAGTTGACAAAGGCAAATTTATTTCATAGACTCTTGCATGGTCCAAAGATAGTGAATCCTGGCATGCTATAGATCGTGGAAAATGGTCTTCCCCTGTACTTTCTCTTCATTCATAAATACCAAGATTTTCTTTGGCTGGATATTTATGGGACCATTTAGCCTAGTGAGGTTTCTTCTTTAAGCAATAGCTTTATGGAAGATATACAGTTGTGGAGAGAGGCAGCCTCAAAATGTGACTGCTCTCTCGGTTCCAATTTTTGAAAAAGCATGGGCTCGGGATGAAAGGAGCTGAGTGGCTGCCACAAGGCTAAGTTCAGTGCTACCCTGTGTACTTGCCTTGTGTTCCAGTCATTTGGGCAAGTTCATGAAGACTGTGTTCTGGGGAGTCGTTGAGGGGCTTGAGGAGTGTTGCTGTTGGCATTGTTGTTACCCTGAGTTCCAGGTTGTGTTTACTTGAATTCAAGGCCAACTGTGGCATCAGTTTCTCTGTTTCTTCCCCCTGTGGCAAAATGCGGTGCCCTCACAGCACTGTGGTGCAGAGCCCCTGTCAGCTTGCATGTGCTAACACTTTATTATCTAATGATCTAATATGCAACAAGGCAAAGTGCCCATGCTCATCATTCTGACATAGAATGCCGGGAGAAGTGACTAAATTACTTTATGTACCATTAGCGCTTGCAGCTATGGTGAACTCACTGGCAGCATTTATGCAAATGCCTGTGAATACACTCTAGTGGCTTTGTCAGGAAACCATCTGACAAGCAGTTTAAATGCTCATTTTTTAAAGGGGATATATGTATTTTTTTATTTTGGTGTGCATGTGTTTTTCTCCTTTCCTCTCTTTTTCTTTCCCTTCTCCCCTTTTTGGGCTATTGGAGGACTTGCCTCCTCCATGGTGACTAGAAAAATGTGAGCACGTTCCAGAGCTCAGCCATCAGTAGGAGCCCTTTCCAGGAGTGGGATTAAGTTCCCAATAGGGTATTCTTTAGATCTAGTTTCTTTTTTTATTGTTTTGAATGTGTACATCCTTCATATTTATTTGAAAAAAAATGGACCTATTAATCAAGAGTTTTTAGAATATAAACATGTTAGTGTTCATGAGCTCTGACCTGAGGTCCTACTTAGTGTTTTAGATCAAAGGCAGGTTCTTTAAAACATACTCACTTTTCAAAAATGAAAAATGATTGAAATTTAGCTTTTGTGGGCATCAGATACAAATCAATTAAATTCCCCTTCAAAGTTATAATAAAGACTGCAACATAAAACATAAATGGACCAAGATCTCAAGATAAATAAAAACCGTAGTGGAGTTTGTTCACACTCAAAATATTTTGAAGAATAAAGACTAATGATAGACTCACTGGGCCTATCTCCTGGCTGTGATTACAGCTCTGGAGAAATAGAGTCAGGTGTTCATCACCACCAGTGAATTCTGACCTTTTGGTTGTAGTGTCGCTTTACAACTGTCCCTGACAATATGGAGGTGTTCTTGATCTTTAGCATATGACCTTCTGTAATCCTTTTGATCCAGACAGAGGCAGTTTTTGCTTCTGTCAGTTGCCCCTGGGTATCCAGCACCATTGACTTCCTGTGACCAGCTGCATCTAAATGTGTTTTTTGTTTGTTTGTTTGTTTTTATGTTTTTACGGAAATGTGGAGAAAGATGGTTTGAGCTTGAAGAGATTACCCCAAATTGAGTCAGTCTCTTTTCCCTTCTGTATAATACGGTCCTAACAGGAGGATAGAAGGAGGATCAGGCTGTCTGGCTGAAGAGCTGGATTCTAGTTCTGACTGCCATTAACTAGCTGTGTGGCCCT